AGCTTTGTTGCCTATACTGAGCTAAACTCCGGTTTGCCTGAGTTTTGTCACTGTGCGCTTTCTTTAATCAAGAAATATTGTTTTTCTCACTTGTTTAGACTACTACCAAGTAATTGTTCTAGTACAGACCTGTGTTTAAAGCCTTTTTCTATGTTCTATTAAGTTTGTTGTTGTGTTTGTCGCTTTTTTCTAGTGTAGAGTTTACTTTTTGCCTTCTGCTAGTTTTGTGCCAAATGATCGTCGGAGAGAGATCTGTTTTTGTTTTTGATTTTTTTGATAATTTAAATATATTATAACTATTATATAATTTATATATATATATATATTTTTAAATATATTATAACTATTATATAATTTATATATATATATATATATTTAAATATATTATAACTATTATATAATTTATATAAATAATTTTTCAAAAAATATATTGTTATAGAACATATTAACATTATAGAACATATTAGAAATTTCATTTTCTTTAGATCCAGAAGATTGTAGCAATCGAAACAAGCTACAATATATAACAAACAGACTATCAGTTAGTTAGATAATATCTTTTGTACCTTTTATACTTTTTGTATCTTTTATACTTTTTGTACTTTTATATCTTTTATACCTTTTATACTTTTTATACTTTTTGTATCTTTTGTACCTTTTATACATTTAATACTTTTTATACCTTTTATATATGTTGTAAAGGCTATATAAACCCTAGCTTTTATTCTTCTTGTACTAGAGGATTCATTTCTTGCAATATTCTAAAATATTAGAATTCTATAGAAATAGATACCTATAGATAGTTTTGTATCTAGGCATTGTATTATAAATAAATAACATATCTTTGCTTTAAAGTAAACTATGTCTCTATGCTTCTAATGAATATATCGAACTGCTCTAGTAAGGAAATATTCCACTTCCACACCGCTTCATATCTCACACTGTTATTTTAGAGATTCCTGTTGCTATATGCTATATTGCAGGTGATAAATTAAGAAGGCTATCCTACTTGTAACATTTTGGTGTCTTCTGGTGGAAATCTAAAAAGTCTTTACCAGAAAGCTAAAAGAACTTCCCAGAAAATGCTAAAAGTCTTTACTGAAAATTTAAAAAGTCTCCTCTGGAATTATAGAAAATCTTTCAAGAAGCTTGAAAATATTAAACCTATTAACTTGAATATCCTTTTCTATTGCTAAAGATTATTTTATTTATTTGTGAATGCCTATTATTGAAGAAATAATAGCACACTTGAAAGTCCTGTCAAGTTGAAAAAGACTTGTACAGAAGGGTACACTTGAAGCCTCTGCTTTTGTAGCAACTAGAAAGTCCTGTCAAGTTGAAAAAGACTTGTACAGAAGGGCTACTTGAAGCCTCTGCTTTCGTAGCAACCAGAGCTTGCAGCTTACTGCAACCCTGAGATTAGATCCCTTGGATGAGTACCTTACGAGCCAAACATGTAGGCATAAAGACCCATAGCTCACAGCTTACTGCAAACCTTAACCAAGAGTATTAAGCGTGAATTACCCACAAGCCAAAGTGTAGGTGTACCCTGTAAAATATTAACTCAAAAAATTTTATATCTCGGAAGTCTATATGATACTATTGAAGCTAGGAAGATTTTATCACGTACTCTTCGAATGCTAGAGCTAAGAAAGTTCTACTATATACTCTCTAGTAATAAGTTTTCTTAACTGTAAAAAAGCAAAAATATTTTAAGATCATCAAAGAGCTCAAATCTGGCACTTGCCCAAATCTTCGAAACGAAGTGCTACATCACATAACTAAAGCGAAGCAAAGAACTTATGACCAATTTTTAGTTCTTAATATATCTATACATACTGTATATGACCATTTATAATATTACTAGTAAATGTGCTATTTCTTTATTTATTTAATTATTTAATTATTTACATTTAATTTAATTCAACGTGCGTACATCATATCCTAAGGGAAGTGCAGTAAATCACGTAATTAGAGTTTACATAAATCATACCCCCTCCCCCCTAGTAATAGGGCTATTGACCAATCAAATTTAATCTTTTAAAATATTTAAAATATATTAAAAATCATAATATTATATTATTATCCGGATTTGAATTACTCAACAACCAGTTATCCAAATAAGCTGAAATTTTTACTGTTAATAAATATGATATCAGGCTATAACATATTAAAATTTCATGCAATTTGAATTAGTAGTTCTTGAGAAATTGCTTAAAAACTATATATAATTGTGTTATATAAATTGTATATAGTTTTTAAGTAATTTCTCAAGAACTACTAATTCAATTTAGCTAAAATTTTAATATGTTATAGCCAGATATTATATTTATCTACAGTATAAATTTTATCCAATTTGGATTAGTAGTTCTTGAGAAAATTACAGCTGGAACTATATATATATTTGTAATTATTTAAATTTTTGCTATATTTTTTTAAGAAAATTACTAGCTAAACATGGTGTGTACAAACACAGGTGATATATGAATTATAAATTGTACTGTATGTATATACACGTAATACATATATATATATTAATAATGTAAATTTTGAGTAACGTATTACCACTTTTTTTTCACGTCATATATATCCTTTATACTGTGCTTTTTTTTTACCTTACGCTTTACCTTACTCTTTACCTTACACTTTACCTTACGCTTTACTTTATGCTTTATCTCCTGTTGTCTACTCTTTCTTTTACTTTATTCTGCGCTCTTCTTGTTGTTGGGCATTCTTCTTGCTTTCTACACTCTTTTTTCTTCTGCTACTGTGCTCTTCTTTTTGTCTGTATTCATTCGTGATCTGAAATTTTGAACTGTATATAGTATGTACCTAAACTTCTAGCTATATGAATACTAGTGCTTAAACTCTAAACTTTGAAATTTATTAAATATTTGCTTTCTACGCTCTTTTTTCTCTTCTACATTCTTTATGATCTAGACATCTTAACTATGTATAGTATATATTTAAACTTATAGCCGTATGAATACTAGTGCTTAAACTCTAAACTTTGAAATTTACTAAATGTTTGCTTTCTATGCTCTTTTTCCTCTTCTATATTCTTCATAATCTAGACATCTTAACTGTGTATGGTATGTATCTAAATTTCTAGCCATATAAATACTAGTGCTTAAACTCTAAACTTTGAAATTCACTAAATGTTGCTTTCTACGCTCTTTTTCCTCTTCTGCATTCTTCGTGATCTAGACATCTAAACTGTGTATAGTATTTACCTAAACTTCTAGCTATGTGAATACTAGTGCTTAAACTCTAAACTTTGAAATTTACTAAATGTTTGCTTTCTATGCTCTTTTTCCTCTTTTACATTCTTCATAATCTAGACATCTGAACTATGTATAATATGTACCTAAACGTCTAGCCATATGAATACTAGTGCTTGAATTCTAAACTTTGAACTTTACTAAATGCTTAACTTTAAACTTTAACTTAAAGATTTTTTTATGTTAGTACCAAGCTTTCTAAACAATTAAGTAGAAAAATAAAAACGAATTTCTATATCATACTAGTTTACCTTACAGAACCTACATTTACAATAAGTAAGTAGAACTTATATATACTATGAATGGGCGAAACTTATATGCTACAACTAAGCAAAACTTACATGCAGCAACCAAGTAAAACATATATGCAAGAACTAGATGAAACTTATATGCAACAACCAGGTAAAACTTATATACAACAACCAGGTACAAATTATATACAACAAGTAGATGAAACTTACATGCAACAACCGGGTAGTGAAGCTTATATACAACAAGTAGGCAATGAAGCTTATGTGCAACAAGTAGGCTATGAAGCTATATACAACAAGTAGGTGACAAAGCTTATATACAACAAGTAGGTAACGAAGCTTATATGCAATATCTTTTTCAACCAACTAATAAATCTTTTTATGAACAACTTATGAATGATGAAAATAATATAACTATAATCTTAGAATATTCTTTCTAGTATATATTGTTTTTAACTAATCATCGATTATACTTTTGTTTGTTATTTTTAGTCTTTCAATTTACTTTATTTATCTTCAGATGAACATAGCTTAAATGATATTGAACAATTGTCTAATAATTTTGATAAAATTGAACAATTGTCTAATAATTCTGATGAAATTGAACAATTGTCTAATAATTCTAATAATACTGACTTAGAAGATAACAATTTATCTAATAATTTGAAGTTAATAGTTGATTGCACTTATTCAAACTGGGTTGAGTTTGAACATTGGTTTAAAATATTTGCATTAAATAAAGGGTTTAGTTACAAGATATGAAATAGTGAAAAAGAAAATGGTATTACACGTCATGTTACTTATGAATATATAAAATCTGAAAAGCATGTTCCCAAAGTACTATCTGATCCAACCAAAAGACATAATACATCATCTCAAAAAACACAGTGCCTTTGGAGACTCAACATTACATATTCTAAAATGCTTGGTTTGGTTAAAATTAGTTCATTTAATAATAAACATAACTATCTTCTTACTATAATAGCATGTGAAATAGCATCTTAATTTCGTAAATTGACTGCAAGTATGATAGTGGACATTAAAAAATATGTAATTCAGGGATGTATGAATTCTGGGTCGATTTACCCTTTACTAAAGCATGATTACCCTAAACACCATATATATAAAAAGGCTTTATATAATACAGTGTATCAAATTTGTTGTGAAAACAATCCTGGTAACTTAGATGTCTCAAAAATGCTTCATACCTTATTAGATTAGAAGAAGTCAAACCCTCTTTGGATTGTTAAGCCTCAATTAGAACCTGTATCAAGAAAATTAATTTCTCTTTTATGGATGTCTCCCACCCAAAGAGAATTATATAAGAATTTTTCTGATGTTGTAATATTGGATACAACTTCTAATACTAACCAATTTCAAATAGTGTTTTTTGTTATGGCTGTTATTGACAATTATTTTAAAACTAGAATTGTTGCTTTAGCGGTTATTGATAATGAAACATTAGATACATTCTTGTGGATATTTAATATGATATTTGATGAAACAGGTATTACACCTAGGGCAATATTTACCGACTCTGATCCAGCACTAATTAGTGCAATTAAAGAAGTATATCCAAGCACAAATCACTTACTGTGTATTTTTCATATTGATTTAAACATTCATAAGAAACTCAAAAGCAAATTAGGTACTCATTTTAATGAATTTTATAACAAATTTTATGTTTGTCGAAATTCTTTGTGTGAAGATTTATTTGAGATCAGATGGAACCATTTGATTATTGAATATCCTGAAATAAGTAACTATATATTAGATACATTATATGTTAATAAAGTATCATGAGCAATTCCATGGATAAGGAACCAATTCATAGCTAGAGTACAAAGTACCCAATGAATTGAGTCTGTTAATAAGAATATACACAGTAAAGTAGATTGTGCTACTTCTTTATATAATTTATTAACCAGCATTAATGAATCTGTTAAAGGTGAAGAACATTATGAAAGTTTTGAAGTTGAACATAATGCTATACCTGTTAGTGGGTTATCAAATTTTAGCACTAGATTTTTTGGACGGGTAGATAATATATTAAAAAAGTATTTAACACCTGTTATGCTTGGGAAGCAATGATTACAAATAAATCAATCGGTGTGCTATAATGTTATTTAGGTTAAAGAATGGCAAAGATTAATCGAGATATGAGAAAAATAGAATAGTCTATTTTTATTATTAGTAGTACGTTATTTAACATAAGTAATTTTAGATAAATATAGATGATGAGGGGTTCGATAATGGGCTTTGAGAACAAGAAAATAATACACACTTAATTCTTTTTAGATTATTGATTGAAAAAGTATTATATGAAATGATTAGAGAAGTATAGCATGTATGTCCTACTGGAACATCAAGTGTTGGACACTATGTAGTATTACTTAACGAAGGTATACATTTGTGTACTTGTTTACTTTTAGTTAATAAAGATTTATTATGCTGTCATTTCTTTCATATTGGTACCTATTCTCAGTATACTATATTTCATATAGCTTTTATTCTATCACAATAGTATTTGGATTATAATATTACTCAAAAAATGCTTTTTTAACAAAATTCGCCAATTCCATTATGTGAAACAGTACAACAAAATAATTATCTTAGAACAAGGTCTATTACATTTCAGCATTTTCTTTCAAATCGGTCTGCATTGTTTACTTTTCAGCCAACAACAAGATCTGTATATGTAGAACTTTCTGGATTATCAAAGAAAGCTATTGATATCGCTATCAAGACTGAATCATATCATGAGTTAATGGATATGTTTAAAGTGTTTGTTTATGATATTCAAAATAAAAATAAT